TGGCTCTCTGGGCTGCCTTTCTTTCCCTCCCCACCCCAGTCCTTCTCGGAGGACCATCTCACTCCTGGGAGATCCTGGCCTGTGACACCTTGAGCGACCCCTTCTTGCTCTCCAGACACTAGCATCCCACCTCTCAAGTGAGAATAGACCAGCAGCACGTGGACTCCTTCTGCCCAATGTCCTCCCTGTCCAGGAAGGAGTGGTGGCCTGGGAGGCTCTGGTGTGACCACGGGGCTATTGCTCACCCTGGGGCACCTGTCACAGGAACTGCCTGAGAGAGGCAACCCAGCCACCTCTGTGCCTCTGTCTGATGTTGTGGAGGCCACTTGGACTGACCGAGCTCCCTCCGGCTCCAACTGCACAGGAACCGAGAGCCTCCCGCTGTCACCCACCCACCCGCTCGGCCTGGTGGGCTCTCTGCAGAGCCAGGCTGTGTGCCCGAGGGCCACACGTGAGCCTCCACACTGCACGCTGCCCAGGCTCACTCTTTCCTAAGCCACAGTCGCAGCCACCTGTCCCACGGTGTGACAGACACAACTGGCTGGCCAGCCTCAACGGTGGCCTGTGAGCTCCGCACAGCTTTCCACTTCAACCAAGCCTGCACCTTGACACCCCTGGCCTCAGTGTGGTGGAGGAGGAGAACGGGCAGTCGCAAGACCCTGGACTTGCCCTGGGTCAGCATTTAGAGGGGCACCGAGCCAGCCTGGCAGGGGCTGGCCATCTACTCTTGGGGCCATGGTGTGTCCCAGTCTGACTGTCCCCATGTGGGAGGCCTCTTGTCCCCCGCTGCCTCTGCAGGGCCCTGAAAACCTCCTGAGCCCTGTTTGGAGCTTCACCCTCACGTAGGAGGTTGCTGAGCCTCGAGGCAGACAGCGGGTGGGACTGTCTCTCCATCTATACGCAAGAGCAAAAGGCCCCGCTGCAAAACAAGCCGGAGTTCCTCGTCTGCAGAGGATGGCCGATGGCAGTGGACCGCCCACCCCGTGTCTGTGGCTGTGTCAGGTCTCCCACCTGCCTGTGCGCCTCTCCTGTGGGCAGACATGCTGAGGGCAACCTCACGAACCCACCCGTGAAGGAGGCCCCCACAAGCTCAGACCCACACCCCGCTCCAGCTGACCCTGAACTCCTCTTTACCATTTAACCCTTTCACTCCACCTCTCTCCTGCCCCCAAAAGTCCACATGAAGGCGAGGACAGAGGCATCGCTCAGAGCGGCCCATGCCAGCTCCCCACCCTGAGGCCGCGCCTGCCCCGCGCCAGCACCCTGGGACAACCCTGGTGTGTCGGAGGTCAGAGGTGCTCTTGGCACTTGAGTGAGTAGTTGTTAGTCTCCCTTTTAGAAAGGAGACCGTGAGGCTGGAGTCTACCCAGGACGTGTCCAGGGCCCAGCTAGCCAGAGGACAGGCTGGGGCTTCCTGCGGGCTGGGTGCAGTCCGCACGGTAAAGGCCGTGTGTGACAAGCCACAGGGGTGAAAGCCACAGTTCCTCCCTCAGCAGGGAGGCCCACTCGCCCACTGACCGCCCACCCCACTCTGCGCTGCAGGCTTCACAATCAGGCAAGACACATAAAATCCAGCCGCCTGGGGAGGAAGGACGGCATTGCCTGCTCTCCACCAAGATGGCCGCACTGCCGAGAACCGACTCCTCCAGAAAAATCAGGCCAGAGTTAAAGGATGCAGAAACGCAGAATGCACGATTGTGATGTCGCACTACAAAAATCAGTTGTTCCCATTCGCTAACAGTGAGCCAGCTAGAAAGTCATCAGGAGAGCAGTTCATGTGTAGTAGCTACCAAACCAGGTAAAACGAAGTCCCCGGGGGTCAGTGTGACCAGGGAGAGAAAGGTCTGCACAGCTGCAAACACAGAGGAACCGAGAACAGTGGGAAGGGGTCCGTGGTCGGGATGGCAGGAATCCCTGCTGCTAAACGCCCAGGCAACCTTCAGATCAGGGCAAATCCTCCCAAACTCCCACTGACGTTTTTCACAGAAATGAAGAAACGACCCTGGGAGGCCCCGAACCGCCCACGGAGCAGAGCTGAGGCCCCACGGCCCTCATCGCAGACCACACCACAGAGCGGCCCAGTGGGTGGCACAGCGTGGCGCTGGCACAGAACCAGGCCCACACGGGAGAGACAGAGAGCTCGGGGACCCAGCCCCACGCGTGTGGTCGGCAGACAGAGAGGCGGGCAGCAAGGCACGACGGCCAGGTCCCTGCGGTCAGTGGTGCTGGGAAGACAGTCCATGTGCAGAAGAACAGGGTCCCACCGTCTCTCTCGCCACATGGGAAAGAACTTGCAGCGGGTCACAGAGCTGAGCGCGAGGCCCGGAGACAGGCGGGTGCCGGAGGAGACTCAGGCGCATGTCCCCAGCACGGGTCCTGGTTTCTGGGCTGTGTCACCAAAAACATAAGAGACAAAAGCAAAAATAAGTAAGAACACCTAAAATTCAAAAGTTTCTGCACAGCACAGGAAGGACTGCAGCGGAAGGCGTGTGCAGCCTGGGAGGAGACGCAGGCAGGCTGTGGATCTGCCGAGGTGACCTCCAAACAGGCAAGGACCTCGTACCACTCCTCAGCCAAGAGCCAGCGTGGGGAGGACTCCTGAGGCCACGCTCCGTGAGGACACCAGATGGCCAGAAGGTAGGAGGAAAGGCGGCCGGCATCATACATCAGGCAAATGCAAACCAAAAGCACAGCAAGACGTGACTCACAGTGAGGGCATGGAACAGGTGGCCGCCCCTGGGAGTGTGCAGAGGGGAGTGCCACCACGGTGCTGGTACAAAGGTATATTGTACCGCCTTCAGGGAAAGCAACACGGGGATTCCTTAGGAGCTTAGAGCAGTCTAGGACCAGGTGGTCTCACTGTCGAGTAGCTATCCACTTGTGGCAGGGACGTTTGCCCCTGTGCTCACCACAGCCAAGACGTGGGGTGATGGTGAGAAAAGGTGGAACACTACTCAGCCCTAAAAAAGAAGGAGATGCTGCCACTTGGGGTAATGTGGGTAAATCTGAAGGAGATGACGCTAAGTGACAGAAGCCGACATGGCAAGGAGACTGCGTGACCGCACTTGAAAAGTCGTCTCAGAAACATGCAGGATGGCAGCTACCGGGGGCTGGGGCTGCATAACGGGTCTGTTGGTGAGGAGTTGAGCTCTCGGGGTTGCGAGGTGCATGCATCTGGGATTGTGCACATTGGCTAAGAGAGCCGGTCCCGATGGCCTGATCACAGAAAGGGGATGACTGCCTGCCGTGGCGGGTGATTGGCTTGACGGTGGTGACCCATTCACAGACACAAATGTCAAAATGTACCCTGAATACAGACAGCGGTTGTTGGTCCCCGCTAACAGTCAGTGGAGCCTGGCAAAGGGGCGGGAAATGGCAGGGGAGACATCCGGGTGCATGTGAGACCTCTGTGATCTCTGCTATGATCGTTCCAGTCTTCTTTCCACCTGGACTCTCTTGGTGCTGGACCTCTGAGCTGGGGCACAAGTTCCAGGAAATAAGTCAACCTGTCTTCAGCAGGGAAAGGAATACGCATTCTGTTCAAGAAACAATACAAGTCTAGGAGTAACAGCTGCAGGCACAGTGGGATCCAGGGGCTCCCAGGTGTCACGAGTGGTTTTCTCTCCCCAGTGCCGGCTTCATTCCTAGGCACTTCTCCCCAGCGGCTGCAAGATGGAGTCTGCAGCCACAAGTGCTGTTTCCAGTTCAATGAGCCCAGGGCAAAGCCTGTGTCCTGCATCAGACTAATGTGATCGGTGCTGAGATGACAGCGCAGTGGTCACGTGTCTGATGAGGGCCAGTCCAGGGCTTCGGAAACGTGCTGGTGGCCATTTCCCTATGGGGAGTGGGCAGCTCCCCAGGAAAGGAGACAGAGAGAGCAAGGGCCCTGTGGCCCAGTGCCCACCGCCATGTTAGTGTCCTGTTGCCTGGGGACCAGGAGTAGGGACCGGACGCGTGCAGGAGGGGGCCTTCCTCCCAGCCACGCCCTCCTGCTCCTCTTCAACCAGCCCCAGAAGGGAGGCTGGAGGGGCAGCTCCCTGGCGGAGGGCAGGGCTGTCCACACACCAGGTCAGAAGGTCACTCCCCCACACCCCAGCAGCTTGTCCCCCGTTAGGCAGAGTTTGAGCCAACGGGCCCAGGGTGGGCTCAGGCCTCCTCTCCCTGAAGGCGCCAAGCCCTCCTGAGTGGGGTCTGGAGCTGCCGTGCGGGGACAGGGCCTTCAGGGTTGCTTTGGCCAATGCACAAGAGGCTCAGAGAGTGAACCTGTCCATGTTCTAGAAAATTCCAGCATTTCTGGGCAGCTGTTCTGGGTCTCCATGTTCCCTCCCCTCCTTCACAGGTCATGGCCATTACTGTCCTCCACAAAGGGCACCAGGCCCGGCACTGAGGCCACTGCTGGCCAGCACCTACCTCTCATTCCCACTGGGGCACGCCCACTGGTGTGCTCTATTCCCGTGAGGAGTGGTGCCTCCAATTCAGGAGGTGGCATGGCCACTCTCCTCCCTGGACAGGCCTGGCCATTAGTTAAACAGATGCCCATGAAGGCAGTCTCAGCCTGCATCAAATCCAGGTCCTGCCACCTCTGAGCCGGTGGCCTAGGCTGGTCCTTGGTCTCTGGGACTCCGTGTCCCCAGGGGAGGTTGGAGGTTGGAGGTGTGGATGGGGCCAGGTGCTGGGAAGAAGGGCTGATGCTTCCAGCCTGAGAGGCAGCGGGTGGGGTGACGGTCCACCTAGGGTGACGTGAGCGGTCAGCACACAGGGTGGGACCTGTCTCCGTGGAGCAGCCACATAGGTGGGGCTGCAGCTGTGGACGTGACCTGCCCAGACCTGGGAGCCAGGTCAGGTGGGGCGGGCTGGGGACACTGACGGGGAGTCGGCTCGGGGCTGGGGGTCGGGGCACTGGAGGGCCAGGCCGCCTGGCCCTGTGTGGGTGGAGCGCCTCCCACTGCAGGCCCGGCTGGCCTCCTGCCCAGGCTGACGCCCACCCTTGCTCCCTGCAGATCAACACCTTCATGTCCTTCGTGTTCCCCATGGTGGTCATCTCGGTCCTGAACACCGTCATCGCCAACAAGCTGACCATCATGGTGCGCCAGGCCGCCGAGCAGGGCCGGGTGAGCACGGTGGGCGCCCAGCACAGCACCTTCAGCCTGTCCGTCGAGCCCGGCAGGATCCAGGCCCTGCGGCACGGCGTCCGGGTCCTACGTAGGTGACCGTGGGCCCTGGGGTGGGACCCAGAGTGGAGCAGGGCTGGGGGACATGGGACAGAAGCCAGGGCGGACGCCCGGCCGGGTGCTCTCCCTGCCTTCTCTCCTTCTCGCCCCCCCAGCCCGTGGGGCGGGGCCTCTTGCTCACAGTCAAGAGGGCAGCAGAGGTGGAGGCCAGCCCTGCGCGCTGGGGACAGGGGCTCTGGGGATGCAAGCTGGGCCCCGGCACTTTCAGACAGCGATGAGCCGGAAGAAGGAATCAAAGCCAGTGACGTGGCCCCGGGGCGGGAGCTCGGGGAGTCCCCCCAGCTCAGCTGAGGACAGCTGTGCCGAGGCCCTGGGTCGGGGGTTCTGCGCGGAGGGCGGGCTGCATCCTGCTCCTGCACCTCGGGGTGACTGCAGGTGTGAAGCGAAGGAGTCAGGGAGGACCCTCATTCCAGGTGCCTGGACCGCATTTCCGTTTGCCAAAACCAAACCTCAGCTCCTTCCTGGTCCCGGCCCCTCAGATTTGTTCCGGAGTGTGGCCAGGTCTCCGGGGACTTGCCCTGTTGAGTCCCAAGCGCAGCCACTGCCTTGCTGGCAGGGAACCTGAAGGCCAGCCCTGCAGCCCCGCAGCCCAGAGCCTCCCGCCCAGGAGCTGGGGCAGGGCTCACGTGGGGGCCCAGGCTATGCCCAGAAGCAGCACCTGTGGAGAGGACTTTTCCAAACGCTACGTCCCCTGGAAGGCACTGCCCCCACCTCAGTCTCCCGGTCACTGAAGCAGAGTGACGGGGACCTGGTCCTGAGAAGGGGTCTGAGGGCTGCCATCAGAGGAGCCCTGGCTGGAGCAGCCAGGGGCACCCCGGCCCAGGCAGAGCCACCCTGGGGATGTCACTGGTGGCGATCCCATCAGTGCCCTGCAGGTAGCCCGCGGTGGGCTCTGCGGTCAACACGAGGGTCTCCATCTCGTCCTTCTTTTGCAAGGCTGTTCTTGCTCCTCAAGGTCCTTTGAGATTCCTCATGAATGTCAGGACTGGACTTGATGGGATCGTGGTGAGCCGACAGCTCGCTCTGGTAGCCCGGGCAGCTTAGGAACATGTCCCCCTCTGGGCGCTTGGGACATCTTCCTGCATCTCTTTGAGGCCCCGCTCTGTCCCTCAGGCGCTGTGGTCATCGCCTTTGTGGTCTGCTGGCTGCCTTACCACGTGCGGCGCCTCATGTTCTGCTACATCTCTGATGAGCAGTGGACCCCGTGAGTGCTTGGGCCCCGAGTGGGCACCCCCAGGGCAGGTGGAGTGGGCAGCACAGGGCAGGGCTGGGCTGGGCAGGAGAGGCTGTGGAGGGCGGTCAGGCAGAGGGGCAGCAGACCCTAAGAATCCTGCCACATTTACATTAGGTTTGAAGGGGCAGCTGTTGGGCCACCACAACCTGGGCTGGACCCAGGGACTCAATGGAGTCACACTCGTGGCTGTGACTTGGCACAGCTAATAACTGTGGACACAGGAGCAGGAATCAGGGGGAGGCAGACATACTTAGCTCCCCAGAAGCCAGTCACCTGGGAAACCTGCAGGCATCCCGACACCTGGGTTCTCCAGGGGACTGGTCACGGAGGCACACGAGGTGCCCGCTATCTGGCAGGCAGCAGCGTTCTGGGCTCCAGATGGAGGAGAAGGTGTGTGGCATACTCCCTACGTGTTCGGAGAGTTAAGGTGCAGAGCCTCCCACCCAGCGGTGGTGAGGTCCTGAGCCACACACCCACCAGCAGGCCTTTCTGAGGCCACCGCCATGGCTGCAGTGTACACTGTCCCATGCACGTCAGGGCTGCCAGGTCCGCTGGTGACAGGTCCTTCAGCCTAATGGGCACCCCTGGGTCAGCATGCCTGGGGTGGGACAGAGCAGGGAGGAGAGGGCAGGCCCAGGAAAGGCTGCTGAAACTCCCACCCAGCGGGGAGCGAGACGCCCTGGGGGGCAGGCGAGCTGAGGTGAGCCGTCCTGGCCAGGCTGCAAGTTAGGCTGGGGGTCAGCCAGGCCTTGGGTGCTGGGCTACAGGACAGTCCAGGTGGGCTGCAGGAGAGGTGAGGACCAGGATAAACGGAGCCCCTCCTGAAGAGGCCAGGTCCAGGCAGGAGTGCAGGAGCCAGACCCAGGTCTATTACCAGGCATCCAAGCAGAACAGTACACCTGCGCTGGCCGCGCCTTGCCTGCGGGCGGCAGGATCTGAGCACTTCTCACCCCCAGGTTCCTCTACGACTTCTACCACTACTTCTTCATGCTGACCAACGCACTCTTCTATGTCAGCTCCACCGTCAACCCCATCCTCTACAACCTGGTCTCCGCCAACTTCCGTGAGATCTTCCTGTCCACCCTGGCCTGCCTCTGTCCCACATGGCGGCGCAGGAGGAAGGGGCCAACCTTCTCCAGGAAGCCCAACAGTGTGTCCAGCAACCACGCCTACTCCAGCAGCGCCACCCGGGAGACACTGTACTAGGGTCCAGCGGGAGCTTCGAGGCCTAAGGAGGCTGGGAGCAGGCGGCAGCCCCACCCAGGGCCTCCAGGGCCCGGGCAGCGGCCAGCTCGCCTGGGCCTGGGCCCAGCACCCTCACCACAGAGGCTTCTTTCCCCAACCCCATCCCCGCTTCTTCATCCCCTGCCTTTAAAAGCCAGATGGAGACTTTGTTCACCTCCCAGATCCAAAATCAGCCTTTCACAGGACAGCCAGTGCTCAGTGGGGGGGCAGCTTCTTTGTCTCCAGGTTAATGGATGGCCAGAAAGGACATGAAAGGAGCCCCCGGGCCCGGCCTGGGCAGCTGGGCTGTGTCTCCCCAGGGTGCTTCAGTGCACGCACTAGGTCTCACCACAGGACCCCAGCCACCGCCCACCCCAGGGGTGAACTGCCAGGAGAGGTCACCCAGCCCGGCATGGGCTCCATCCTGGCCTCCCTCTGCCTCTGGTTCAGGGTGAGTCCATTTCAAGGTCCAGTAAGTGCCACATCCTGGGCCTCACACCCAGACCCTTCCGTGGGGTCAGACCAGCCCCTGATACTCTTCTTCAGGCCTGGGGACCATGCTGGGTGTGAGGGGACCCCTCCTACTTGCCCTCACCCTGGTGACCACAGAAGAAGCTCAGGCTCCAACTGATACGTCCATAAAGAGCCAGCCTGGACTCTCCAGCCCAGGGCCTCCCCCCCTCCTGCTGGCCTGACCTTTCCCTGGGGGCCCTGCAGGGACATCCTGCAGGAGGGGCCGAGACCCCACAGGTGCAGAGGGAATTGCAGATCGGGGTGTCTGCCTCTCCCCAGGTGTCCTGGTCATTCAGCGCACTCGGAGCCTCGAGTCTCGGACAAACCCGAGCAGGCTGAGGACCGGCAGGCAGCAGCCTGGGATGGCTTTGGGGGCAGGGGGTGGCCTAAGCAGTGGGAGGGCATAGGCCAGGGCTGCTGGGACCATGTCCTGTGTAAGGTGCCAGGTGCCCAGGGCTGGCTGCAGGTCAGGAGCCCGCTCCAGGCACCCTGCTGGCCAGCAGCCCGAGGCTGAGACACGGTTCATTTGTCACCAGCCGCCAGGCAGCAGCCCTGGCCCCAGGCTCCGGCGCCTGGAAGAGCCTGCCAGCGGGCGCCTCCCTGGTCCCTAGGAGCTGTCTCCAAACAGGACAGAACCTGCCCAGGCCCCCTGCCGAGAAGGTTCCTGAGCCCTGAGACAGATCCCAGGATGAGCTGCCTGGACCAGCAGGTGCAAAGTGCCAGGAAGCAAGACGGAGCCCGTTTAAAAGTAGCTTCTGCCGTCTTGGGTCCCCTTGCCCAGGAGGGGAACAGGTGGATGGGCAGACAGGCTGCAAAGCAGCACTGTCTTGGGACACAGGGATCCCGCTGTGGCCACCCGGCTCAGGCCACTCTGCTATCAACTGGAGTGCTCTTTGGACCCCACGGAATCCCGCTGTAAGCCCCGTGACCTTTCAGGTCACCAAGGGCAGGCCTAGGCAAGTCAGGCCCATCTGCTCCTTCACCCCAGTGCCCACCACAAGGTCTGCCCTGCCCGCTCTGGGGTTCTGGGGTCAGGGCAGCACCACCCTAGGCAGTGGTGGGTGAGGCTGGGCGCTGGCACCAGACATCTGAGCACACTCACACAGTCCACCCAGAGACCCCTCCCGGACTGCAGATGTTGGCATGACTCCTCTGAGCCTCAGACTCCCGTCCAGGAGCAGACCTGACCATCCCACCTCAGACTGCTGGGACTGTCCTGGAGACAGGAGGGACACACCCCTGAGATAAGGCCCAGTCCACCAGAGCACTGGAGGCGGGTCTGCATGGAGGGTCTGGGCTGTGACCAGTGTCTGGCCAGGTCATCATCTCAGTCCTGAGTGCTGAACGTGGGTGGGCACGTGTCCATGCAGTGCCACACGCGCCCGTGACACTGATGGGATCCCAGCCCTGAGTGCTGTGGGCATGTCTCCCACAGAGACCAGAGTCCCATGAGCCCAGTGTTGATGGCAAAACCCACTGTGTAACTCCAGTGTCCCTCGGAATGTCCCCACCCCACCACTCTGCAGTTGAAGAAGCCCCCATATCTCAATAAAGGACCCTGTGGACCCCAAGTTGGACTTTTCTGTTGAGGGCCTCCGCCCACATCCCCTCTCTCACTCACTCGGTCCCATGGCGATGGCTCTGGCAGAGCCCTGCTTGGCATTCTTTTTTTTTTTTAAAAAAACCAAGTGGTAATTTTTTTAATATCATTTTTATTGTTGTTGTTTATTTTTTATTTGGTGATGGGGATTGAACTCAGGACCTCATGCATGCAAGGCAGGCACTTTACCACTGAGCTATCTCCCCAGCCCCTGCTTGGCATTCTTACCAAGATGCATGGGCTGAGGACTCGGCTGGGGACCTGCCAGGGTGAGCACAGAGCCCCCCGCCCCCTCCCCAGCCGCCGAGCAGCCTCCCACTGTTCTCTGCAGAAATTCCCCGTGCACAGTCAAAGTCCCTTCTAGAACTCTGGTTACGTGTTTTAAAATAGAATTACTGGGTCTGGGGGGTGTAGGTGAGGGACAGAGCCTTTGCCTGGCAGGCTCTGGGCTTGATCCCCAACACCACAAAAAGAAATGTGTGAAATATAACAAACCCCTGGGTTTTAGCAAGTAGGATTCTCCTTAAAATAAGACGTCTGGCACAGACAGGAGCAAGGGCAAGGTCTGGCCGCAATGAGGGGCTGCCGGACCCCACGAGCAGTGCAGCTCAGCCCAATGGCTGTGCTCAGACCAGAGCGACAGCAGAAGACCCCTGACAGGAGGCCCACAGAAACCTGCCAGCTCCCCTGCCTCCAGGACCTGGCGCTGACCGCCTGCCTGGCCTCCCTGCCGGTCCACTGTCTGCTTTCCCTCACCAGGTTCTCTGCCCAGCGCAGGAGCCCCCACGACTTTTGACCTGCCAGGTCTCTGCTCCATCCCAGTCTCCAGGGAGCAAGGAAGGAGTGGCTTCTCCTGAGTGTGGGCCGTGCACCAGGGACAGAGGGGCATGGGTACTGTCCACCTGCATGAGTCCCCAGTGGTACAGGTAGCCACACTCAAACATGCTCATTCACACTCGTACACGCTCACACACAGGCACACGCTCATACACATGCTCATACATGTTCACACACACACTCACACATACTCACACACACTCACGTCCCCCAGGCCAACAGACAGAGGCAGGGCCTTGTCCACAACCAAGTGCTGCCTTCTGTGGGGCAACAAGGAAGTCGTCCAGACTGCAGGCCTCCGGGACTCCTCCACCCAGTGTCCCTGGTGGTCAGGGGACCGGTCAGCACCAGAACCACAGGAGCCTGCTGAAGGTCAGCCTCCCAGTGCAGCCCGGCCTATGCAGTCAGCAGCCCTAGGGCCCTGGGACTCGGCCCAGTGGGGAGCACCACCTCAGCTCCCCAGCACCCCCACATTCATCCAACACCCACTCCCCGGCCAGGTGCTCCTGGGGCAAGTGTCCTTAAAGGGGGCCCGGCCCTTTCCTGAGAGGCAGAGCCGCAGCTGTGAGGCTCCAGAGCTCTGTGAAGAGACCCTCAGTCCCACTCCCTCAGAGGCCTGGGGAGCTGGCCTCCACACTGACCTCAGAGGCACGTTGACCAGAGTGTCAGAGGAATGAGACTCACGGCAAAATTCCAGCCAGTCATGAGAGGGAGGTTGAGGGACAAAGGGCAGGCAGCCCTGACCCCGACCACCCTCCAGGCCAGCCCACCAGGGTGAGAGCCCTGGCCGAGCCCTCCCACCCTGCAGGTCTTCTGAACTCAGCCCTGTTCCAGGACCTGGACAGAGGAGTGGGCAGGCTCACACCATTGCTAGGCAACAGGATGGGCTTGGGAGAGAATCCTATACATACGTCTTGAACGCACTGGAAGGAAAAATAACACAGCCCCTCCCCTCCCTCACGGCTCCCTGCAATTATGATCTGAACCCAGTTCTTACCAGAACACCATGGAAACCACGTCCAGGCTGGACTGATGAAAGGAACACCACCCATCAGAGAGAGCCCGCCAAGGCGGGGCAGGAGGCGAGGCAGGGGCCAGCGGGGTGGACAGCAGACAGCACCAGGTGGGCAGGAGGCCATCCAGCACCTGCCCTCCCAGGGCCTCCCAGCACACACAGGCACAGCATGCAGAGGATGATTGTGCACTCGCTACGCTCGAACACACACCCGTGTGACACTAGTGCACAATCTCATGTGGACACACACAGAAACGTGGGATGCAGGTGAGCGACACACGTTTGCATGCACACGCCAGGGCACACACACCAAGAGCACGTGACCTGCACGCACACGCCGGCCCTCTCACCCACAGGGCCCTGCTGCCTGGGCTGCCTGGCCCGGCTAGTGAGGTGGCTGGCAGAACCACGGGAGCCCAGGACAGCCTGGCCAGGCCCAGAAGCCCTTGGCTACTCGGGCCTGGGGCAGGACCTCGCTCAGCCACCCTGCCCTCCCCGACAGCTGCTGAGCACCAGTCAGCAGTTGGAGCCGGCTCCTGGCGAGGAAGGCAAGAAGCCCCCAGCTCTAGCACACACAGGACCCCAGGGGAACTCATGCCCCTCTACAGAAAAGAGTGGAATAGATCCCCGGCCAGCCACCTCTCCCTGAGGGTGATCACTCAGTGGGGCACCAGCCTTGCCCTTCACGGGCCCTCCTCCCTTCCATGCCCCTACCACCCTCTTCCTAGGGTCATCTCAGGCAGCTGACATTCAACCATGTTTCAGTCTCTCTGCCAGAGAGAAAGAGACCAGGGCCTCCCAACCAGCCACAGGTGGTGGCCACGTGGGGACAGGAGCCCACACACCAGATCTCAGCCTAGACTCAGGCATGGGTGGAGATGGAGGGTGGATGGGAGAGAGCAGGGGAGGACACGCAGAGAGTGAGGAAGAGGAGGAGAAGGGGGACCAGGGAGGAGCAGGGAGGAGAGAGAGAGTGGGGAGAGGAGGAGAGAGGGGGAGGGGAGGAGGAGGAGGAGAGATAGAGTGGGGAGAGGAGGAGAGAGGGGGAGGGGGAGGAGGAGGAGGAGAGAGAGAGTGGGGAGAGGAGGAGAGAGGGGGAGGGGGAGGAGGAGGAGGAGAGAGAGAGTGGAGAGAGGAGGAGAGAGGGGGAGGGGAGGAGGAGGAGGAGAGAGAGGGGGAGAGGAGGAGAGAGGGGGAGGGGAGGAGGAGGAGGAGAGAGAGAGTGGAGAGAGGAGGAGAGAGGGGGAGGGGGAGGAGGAGGAGGAGAGAGAGAGTGGGGAGAGGAGGAGAGAGGGGGAGGGGAGGAGGAGGAGGAGAGAGAGAGTGGGGAGAGGAGGAGAGAGAGGGAGGGGAGGAGGAGGGAGGAGAGAGAGAGTGGGGAGAGGAGGAGAGAGGGGGAGGGGAGGAGGAGGAGGAGAGAGAGAGTGGGGAGAGGAGGAGAGAGGGGGAGGAGGAGGAGGAGAGAGAGAGGGGGAGAGGAGGAGAGAGAGGGAGGGGAGGAGGAGGGAGGAGAGAGGAGGGGGAGGGAGGAGAGAGGGGGAGGGGAGGAGGAGGGAGGAGAGAGGAGGGGGAGGAGGAGGAGAGAGGGGGGGGGGGAGGGGGCGGAGGAGGGCGAGAGGGGGGAGAGGAGGAGACGGGGGGAGGGGAGGAGGAGGAGGAGAGAAGAGGGGGAGAGGAGGAGAGAGGGGAGGGGGAGGAGGAGAGAGAGAGGGGGAGAGGGGAGAGAGAGGGAGGGGGAGGAGGAGGAGGAGAGAAGAGGGGGAGAGGAGGAGGAAGGGGGAGGGGGAGGAGGAGGAGGAGAGGGAGGGGGGAGAGGAGGAGAAGGGGAAGGGAGGAGAGGGAGGAGAGAGGAGGGGGAGAGGAGGAGAGAGGGGAGGGGGGGGGGGGGAGGAGAGAGAGAGGGGGGAGAGGAGGAGAGAGGGGGAGGGGGAGGAGGAGGAGGAGAGAGAGAGGGGGAGAGGAGGAGAGAGGGGGAGGGGAGGAGGAGAGAAGAGGGGGGAGAGGGAGGAGAGAGGGGGAGGGGGAGGAGGAGGAGGAGAGAGAGGGGAGAGAGGGGGAGGGGAGGAGGAGGGAGGAGAGAGGGGGGGGGGAGAGGAGGGGACGGGGGGGGGGGGAGGGGGAGGAGGCGAGAGAGGGGGAGAGGAGGAGAAGGGGGAGGGGGGAGGAGGAGGAGGAGAGAGGAAGGGGGAGAGGAGGAGAAGGGGAAGGGAGGAGAGGGAGGAGGGAGAGGGGGAGAGGAGGAGAGAGGGGGAGGGGGAGGAGGAGGGGAGAGAGAGAGGGGGAGAGGAGGAGAGAGGGGGAGGGGGAGGAGGAGGAGGAGAGAGAGAGGGGGAGAGGAGGAGAGAGGGGGAGGGGGAGGAGGAGGAGGAGAGGAGAGGGAGAGAGGAGGAGAGAGGGGGAGGGGGAGGAGGAGGAGAGAGAGAGGGGGGAGAGGAGGAGGAGAGGGGAGGGGAGGAGGAGGAGGGAGAGAGAGGGGGAGAGGAGGAGAGAGGGGGAGGGGGAGGAGGGGGAGAGGAGGAGGGGGGAGAGGAGGAGAGAGGGGGAGGGGGAGGAGGAGGAGGAGGAGGAGAGAGAGGAGGGGGAGAGGAGGAGAGAGGGGGAGGGGGGAGGAGGAGGGGGGAGGAGAGGAGAGGGGGAGAGGAGGAGAGAGGGGGAGGGGGAGGAGGAGGAGGAGGAAGAGGGGGAGAGGAGGAGAGAGGGGGAGGGGAGGAGGAGGAGGAGAGAGGAGGGGGAAGAGGAGGAGAGAGGGGGAGGGGGAGGAGGAGGAGGAGAGGAGGGGGAGAGGAGGAGAGAGGGGGAGGGGAGGAGGGGAGGAGGAGAGAGGGGGAAGAGGAGGAGAGAGGGGGAGGGGAGGAGGAGGAGGAGAGAGGAGGGGGAGGGAGGAGAGAGGGGAGGGGAGGAGGAGGGAGGAGAGAGAGAGGGGGAGAGGAGGAGAGAGGGGGAGGGGGAGGAGGAGGAGGAGGAGGAGAGAGAGAGGGGGAGAGGAGGAGAGAGGGGGAGGGGGAGGAGGAGGAGGAGAGAAGAGGGGGAGAGGAGGAGAGAGGGGGAGGGGAGGAGGAGGAGGAGAGAGGAGGGGGAAGAGGAGGAGAGAGGGAGGGGGAGGAGGAGGGAGGAGAGAG